AAAAAAAAAAAAATAAGGCGTGGGTTACCACTCACGGTTTTTAGTTGGTTTTGCAAATTCGTAAATAAACCATCGTTCAATCTATTTATTTTCACCTTCGCCTCAACGTGAAATTTGAAAATTAATGAAGACTTTCCGTTGAGATTCTTGATGGTGGAATCCCATTCGACAATGTTTTGGTCCTCACTATTGCATTTTTCACTTATTTTTTTTAGTTATCGGCTTAAATATTCTACTAAGTGTACATTTTCTGCTCAATAAATCATAAAAACTGCTTTGGAACACCTTATAAATTTCTCCTTAATGCCCAAGGAAAATATTTCATAAAAATAAAAAATTTGCATTTTTCACTAAAAAAGGTGGGTTAACGTTCACGGTTTTTAGTCAGTTTTGAAAATTCATACATAAATAATCGTTGAACTTATTTCTTTTCACCTTCGCGTCAGCTGTGAAATTTTGAAAATTAAAGGAAGACTTTCCGTCGAGATTCTTGAGGGTGGAACCCCATTTGACAATGTTTTGGTCCTCACTATTGTATTTTTCACTTATTTTTTCAGTTTTCGGCTTAAATATTCTACTCAGTATACATTTGTTGCTCAATAAATCCTAAAACCGCTTCCAAAGAGGTTATAAAGTTTTCCTTAATGCTCACGGAAAATATTTTGCAAAAATAAAAAATTTCATTTTTGACCAAAAAACCGTGGGTTAATACTCAGGATTTTTAGTCGGTTTTTCAAATTCGTACATAAATCATCATTCAATCTATTTATTTTCACTTTCGCCTCAGCGTGGAATTTTGAAAATAAAAGCAAGACTTTCCATTGAGATTCTTGAGGGTGGAACCCCATTTGACAATGTTCTAGTCCTCACTATTATATATTTAACTTATTTTTCTAGTTTTCGGCTTAAATATTCTACTTAGTGTACATTTGTTGCTCAATAAATATTAAAACCGCTTCGAAACACCTTATAAAGTTCTCCGTTATGCTCATGAAAAATATTTCGCAAAAATAAACATTTTTCATTTTTCACAAAAAAAAATGTGGGTTACCACTCACAGTTTTTAGCCGGTTTTGTAAATTCGTACATAAATTATCGTTCAATCTATTTATTTTCACCTTCATCTCAGCGTGAAATTTTGAAAATTAAATGAAGATTTTCTATTGGGATTCTTGATGGTGGAACCCCATTTGACAATGTTTTGGTCCTCAATATTGTATTTTTCATTTATTTTATAGTTTTCAGCTTAAATATTTTACTAAGTGTACATTTGTTGCTCAGTAAATCATAAAACCGCTTCGGAACACCTTATAAACTTCTCCTTAATGCTCATGGAAAATATTTTGCGAAAATAAAAATTTGCATTTTTCAGAATAAAAACGTGAGTTACTGTTTTCAGTCGGTTTTGCAAATTTGTACATAAATCATCGTTTAATCCATTTATTTTCACTTTTGCGTTAGCGGGAAATTTTGAAAATTAAAGGAAGACTTTCCATTGGGATTCTTGAGGGTGGAACCCCATTTGACAATGTTTTGGTCCTCACTCCTGGAAAATATTTCGCGAAAATAAAAATTTGTATTTTCCAGAAGAAAAAAAACGCGGGTGCACTATTTTCAGTCGGTTTTGCAAATTCGTACATAAATCATCGTTCAATCTATTTATTTTCACCTTCGCCTCACTATGAAGTTTTGAAAATTAAGATGAGACTTTCCGTTGAGATTATTGAGTGTAGAACCCCTTTTGACAATGTTCTGGGCCTCACTATTGTTTGATTCACTTATTTTTTTTAGTTTTCGGCTTAAATATTCTACTAAGTGTACATTTTGTGTTCGATAAATCATAAAACCGCTTTGAAACACCTTATAAAGTTCTCCTTAATGCTCACGGAAAATATTTCGCGAAAATAAAATTTTGCATTTTTCAGAATAAAAACGTGAGTTACTGTTTTCAGTCGGTTTTGCAAATTTGTACATAAATAATCGTTCAACCTATTTCTTTTCACCTTCGCCTTAGTGTGAAATTTTGAAAATTAAAGGAAGACCTTCCGTTGAGATTCTTAAGGGTGGAACCCCATTTGACAATGTTTTGGTCCTCACAATTGTATTTTTAACTTATTTTTCTAGTTTTCGGCTTAAATATTCTACTTAGTGTACATTTGTTGCTCCATAAATTTTAAAACTGCTTCAAAACGCCTCATAGAGTTCTCCTTTATGCTCATGAAAAATATTTCGCAAAAATAAACAATTTGCATTTTTTACAAAAAAACGTGGGTTACCACTCACGGTTTTTAGTCGATTTTGCAAATTCGTACATAAATCATCGTTCAATCTATTTATTTTTATCTTCGCCTCAACGTGAAATTTTGAAAATTAAAGGAAGACTTTCTGTTGAGATTCTTGAGGGTGGAACCCCATTTGACAATGTTTTGGTCCTCACTATTGTATTTTTCAATTATTTTTTTAGTTTTCGGCTTAAATATTCTACTAAGTATACATTTGTTGCTCAATAAATCATAAAACCGCTTCGGAACGCCTTACAAACTTCTCCTTAATGCTCACAGAAAATATTTCACGAAAATAAAAATTTGCATTTTTCAGAATAAAAACGTGGGTTAACACTCATTATTTTCAGTCGGTTTTGCAAATTCGTACATAAATCACCATTCAATCTATTTATTTTCACCTTCGCATCATTGTGAAGTTTTAAAAATTAAGGTGAGACTTTCCGTTGAGATTCTTAGTGTGGAACCCCTTTCTACAATGTTCTGGGGCTCACTACTATATTATTCACTTATTTTTTTTGTTTTCGGCTTAAATATTCTACTAAGTGTACATTTTCTACTCAATAAATCATAAAACCACTTTGAAACACCTTATAAAGTTCTCCTTAATGCTCATGGAAAATATTTTGTGAAAATAAAAAATTTGCATTTTTCACAAAAAAAAAAAAACATGGGTATCTCAAATTTTTTAGTCAATTTTGCAAATTTGTACATAAATAACCGTTCAATCTATTTATTTTCACCTTCGCCTCAGCGTGAAATTTTGAAAATTAAAGGAGGACTTTCCGTTGAGATTCTTGAGGGTGGAACCCCATTTGACAATGTTTTGGTCCTACTATTGTATTTTTCACTTATTTTTCTAGTTTTTGGCTTAAATATTCTACTAAGTAAACATTTGTTGCTCAATCAACCGTAAAACTGCTTCAAAATTTCTTAAATAGTTTAAATTAATTCTCAGGAAAAATATTTTGAGAAAAAAAAATCTGCATTTTTTTCGAAAAAAAAAACATGGGTGTTAGGCACGCTCGACGCAAGCAAAACGAGGTGGACTCAGCTCACACAGAACGAGGAGAACCATGACACGATGAATAAGGCAGGCTCCACTCACAGAAAAAATGGGCGAGATTCTGGCACACAAAACGAGGTGAGCTCTATGCATGGAAAATAAGGCGAGACACATTGCACAAATTGAGGCCAGCCTTGCGCACGAAAAACGAGGCTAGCTCCGTGCACGCCAAAACGACGCAAGCTTCATGGACGTAAAATAGGTAGGCTTCTGGCATGCAACGATACAGACACCTCACATGCATGACGACAAGAACCCAGGCAAACAAGACAAGGTGGGCTCTGTGCACGCAAAACGAGGGGAACTCCCGAGTGCTCAAAAAACGAGTCGGGCTCCACGCACAGAAAAATATATTTTGAAGAACATGAATATGATAGTTTGTTGTATTGGTAAGAGAAATAAAATAAAAATTAACAAAAATGTAAAAAAATGATTCAAATTCTTGAGGGTGAGAGAATGTCACATGTGACTTCTCCTTTTTTTTTTTTTTTTTTTTTGTTTGTTAATTCTTATTTTATATAAATCTAAACTACATATTAATAGAACACTCTTTGTCAACCAAAAGATGATGAAAAATTATTAAACAAAACAAAATTTTGTTATTTTTTGTTTAAGTCTCACCTACATGTGATTTTAAGACTATATCTCTCATTAATCATCATTCAATCTATTTATTTTCACCTTCACCTTAGCGCGAAATTTTGAAAATTAAGGGAAGACTTTCCAATGAGATTTTGTAGGGTGGAACCCCATTTGACGATGTTTTGGTCCTCACTATTGTATTTTTCACTTATTTTTAGTTTTCGGCTTAAATATTCTACTAAGTGTACATTTGTTACTCAATAAATCATAAAACCGCTTTGAAACACCTTATAAAGTTCTCCTTTCTGCTCACGAAAAATGTCACGCCCCGAACCCGGGGTCGACAATAAAAACTCGAACTCAAATCCGAAACATGAGTAAAAAAAACTAAATAATTAAAAGGAAACTGAAACGGGTTGGAAAAAAAATTCCTCTTGTAAAAATAATTCATGATTCTTAAACAAATCAAGAATTCTTTACAACCTACAGTAAATAGATGAATAAACATTATATTCTCACATCTAATCCGATCTCATCCCGTCTACTTTTTGAATGTCTAGTTCGTATACTTGCATAACAATAGAGGGATGAGCTTCAACAGCTCAGTAGGGACATAACATTACCACAGTAAATTGCCAATATTAAATTAAGTGTCATAGAATCATATAGCCAAATATCAAATCATTATTGAAAACAATGCATGAATGCAATGCAACCTCTTCAACTATACCCGTTAATACATATAATAAGACACGCGGACCTACACGTCCCATACCGTGCATTTTACCACTGCAGTGGTGGTTCGAATATTCTATTATACAAACTGACCCCCATAAGATATTTTCCCTCCGTCACAAAAAAAAACGTTTCACTTGAAAAGGAGTCTTTCTTGACAAAATAATACTCTAACATAGAGGGGTGGATTCAAGCTTGGACGGAAGGGGTGAGCATACTGTATTGATCAACTGACCTAACTCCATATTTGCAGTAGGTTTTTCAGTTCAGTCGAGTCAACGATGAAAAATAGAGTCGTTCTTTTGCATGTTTACTTAATTAGAAGGAGAAAGTCATGAACAAGAGAAAATAGATGAGAATGTGATCAGCTACTCCCTTAATCAATAAGCAAAACCTCGAGTTTCTACATTATCCATAAAACCTAGATTACATTTATACATGCACAGGATTCCAGATTAATGAGTCTTCACAAGTTCAAACAACCAACCCCCCCCCCCCCTTGGGCAGCTGGGCTAGTAGCCTAGTACATATTCATACTAGGTTTTCCTAGAGGAGTTGCAACAGAAAATGACCAAGCTATATTCTCCCCACTGTTAAGAGGTCTACACCTAAGCCGATCCTGAATTCTGCACTAAGCAACCAGCGCTTTAGGTAACTTGATTTTCAGTTCTATTTCCCCTGACTCGACGTCACAAAGCCTCAACCAAACACTCTGCACCACCTCACCGTCTACACAAGCGATGGAGCTTTCCCTAACTAGGCAATTTTCACCATCTGGGACAACCTTCCTTAATGTTGTCTCACCGGATGAAACACTCAAAATCTGTCTCAATCTAGCTGCGGAGACTATTGGCTGAAGGCTGAGGTGAGCATGTCCCATCTTATCATCCGTCTTCAGAAAGTCTTTGTCGAACACTTCCTACGGAAAAAGACCTTTTGTCATGTCATACAAGCCTAAAAGAGTTGTAACGGGAATAGTATTTCCCAAGTCATCTTCACCAACTATATAATCAATCATCAGCAAATTACTCAGGAATATTGACTTCAAAACAACAGTGAACATAATAAAATCTGAAAATTAAAATTTAAAAATTAACTGGACTAAAACCAAAACTGAAATAACGAAACATGTACAAATTAAGGAAAAATAATGGTCTAATTTTGGCAAAACACTATCAAACACTACAACATAATATATTAAGCTCATCAGAAGAACTGGCCACCATCAAATTCAAATGCCCAACTTACCAAACTTAGAACTTCAATCGGCTCCTTAAGGAAGAAGCTTAGCTCTTCATTCCAAACTGGATTGAGGCAACTGTTGATAACCTTGGTTTTAGCCCCCTGGTACAGATGATACTAATGAGTCGCTTCAAAGTTCAACTTTTATTGTAAAACAACTTTATGCACATCCAAAGTAATTAATACGTAAGATACTCTGAGCCTGTTTACAAACAGGCCCCTCAAAGAAACGCTCAAATGATATTCTAGTCTATAGTAATGCTAGAACTGTGAAGGCCTCATACACGAAATTTGAAGTAAAGACAACAGGATATTCCAATTCCGCATATCGTTGAAGAGTGCGCGATCGAAAGGAAAAAAACTACAATCTTAGCATGTGAAGGAATCAATTCAAGCAATTTGGTCTCTTGATAAACCATTTGAAGGAAATTGGAATCATACATCCAGACCAAGATTAATCTGGCCATAGTAAAGACTGAGTGAAATATGAAAGGTTCTCAATCAGTTGGTAAAACTAACTTCTTCTAGTTGAAGGGCTAAACAATAAAGAAGCGAGGTAGCCCTCTTGCTACCATAATCATATCAACAGAATCTGTTGGTCCAGGTCATTAAGCCTAGAAGATAGATTGCGTAACGTTACTTTCACTCAACATATTTTGTAGGAAATTAGATTCAACGTCGGTTAAAAGGTTAACTGATACTCATCCTTCCTAGAATATAAAGACAGGTTACTTGTTTGAGTTCCCCCGTCTCCCATCCTCTTTTCAAGTCCCACTCTTTTCCCGGTTATTTATCAAGTAAGCTTATGAGGACAGTAACACAAATTCTCCTGAAGACAATACAATGCACTCAGCTCAGGGTGAGTTCTACAAAGTCATGTGTGTCTGTGAACAAGAATATGTGTCTCTGTGCATGCCGCGTAGTATTAAAGCAAAACTATGAATTTCATGAAAACGGTTGAGAAAAAAAAAAAAAAAGGACATCAAATTCACCTGATTGCCCAACTTGACAACAACATAAGGGTCGCTGCTCTTGAAATCCCGGATTACCAGTCTTTGCCCTTGCACGACTGTAACTTTTATCAAACCCAATGAATCTCCCATACTTCCTTTCCACTTTCCAGAAATTTGCCAACTTCTGCACATGACTCAGACATATCTAACCATTTACCAAAAGAAAACAATTTCCATGGAACTTTACAGAATATTTGTGAAAGAAGAAGAAAAACTCAGTAAACGAAAAGGCGGAGTTACTAACAATTCCACATAACCTTAAAATCAAGTTTAAAACAACATGTGTATTTGAGAAAAAACTGTGTGACTATTCAAGAATATCTTAGATCGATCACATAAAATAAACCGATAAATAATATACATATAGTTCGCTTGACTTGTGTGTGAAAATAAAAGACAGAGGCTTTGCAGAAAATTAAAAACAGAAAAGGAAAAAAGAAGCTTGTTTTAGCAACCAATAACCAGATTATCTATGTCACATTTTATATCCAAAAAAATTTATATATATTATTAACAAGAAACTCAAAGGCAGCAAAACCAAAACATTGCAAGGAAATAAAAGCCATTGGCCACCCAGCACTCACTCACTGAACAAATTAAACTAAAAAAAAAAAAAAATTAAGTAGTTAATTTGTATTATCATATGTGGAGAACAAGTGCAGTAATTTAGAAGCATAGCATGAAAAGCAAAAACCAAGGAAAGAAAGAAAGAAAGAGAAGCACTTCACTTGACTTACCAGCCACAGGCAGTGGCAGTAGAGATTTGTTTTTAAGGATTTATGAACAAGAATTAATATTGAATTGATCCTATGGAACTGGATTTTATGGCCCTCTCCTCCTCCCGCTCTCCCGCTCTCCCTCTGGTTTAGTATTAGTAATGGGTTTTCTGGTTTTATTTACCGTCAAAATAAGGAGACACTTGGACAGCCAGCGGAAGCGGGAATACCAGGTAACCGGTCACTAAGGTTGGCTGAGGAGTTGATGATGGCATCAGTAGTGGATTAACGCAGGCACGTGCCAGTCAAGACTTGACCAAAGGTAGGACACACACAACATCTGCTCTAGTCCGATCCGAGTGTGCTATAGATTAGTGGGACCGTCTGATGAGTTGACTCTTGATGTCATTTCATTCATTTTGGAAACGTAAATAATAATTGCTTGCCAATAATTGCTGTATTATATTAGGGAAAGGGATCGTTTTCTCCTAATCCATCAAGTTCGAGGATCTGGATCATTGAAATTTGATCCAACGGCTACAAACAGAAGCTCACTTTAAAAGTTATGATAACATTAGCCGTTGGATCCAAATTTCAATGATCCGGATGCCCTAACTTGGTGAATTAGGTGGAAGGGATATGAAGGGATGCCTTTCCTTACATTAGCATACGAAATCAAAGATGAACTTAAAACACATGGTGATGGTATATATGGTACATAATGGTGGTGTAGTGGCCCTTGTGGGTGAGTGGGTGAAGAATATATAAACAAACAAACTTGCGTCTTTCCATTTGATTCCATTCCATGTGAACAATTATCACTAGAAAGCTCAATTGCCCTCGGCTGTCTGCAAACAAAGCTAGCTAATCCGAAAAACGAATCCAACATTCACATGAAACTCAAGAAGAAGAAAAAAAACAAAGCCCTCCAATTATCACTTCCATGGATGTTATTAGGATTCAAGCAAGAATTAACAGACAAACACAACACACGATTATCCCCACGTATAAACTCTACTGTACATGTCGCGGCCATTCAAGCATAAATTGTGGTGGTAAACTAGCGTCAACTAGACTATACTCAGACTCGACTAGAGCCCATTCATCGCATGTCAAAATCTATCAGCTAACCATTACCAAGTCCCAGGTCCAGTACGTACAGTCGCTGCTGTCGTTAAAGATACCCAAAATGTTACAACCATTTAACACTTCTTCACCTACAGTCAGTGGGATATGCATATTATATGCCTACGCTTGTCTTTTTTACATTCTACATCAATGCTGCCGGCCACCCTTCTTCATTCTTCATTCTTCTTTCACCGCCCACGCCATACTGCAACGCCACAGATTACTCACAGCCTCGCAGCCAACCCAAGGTAAAAGTGGTACAAAGTGGCTCCACCACTTATCGCACTCGCTTTGAACCTTTTTTCACTACTCGTTGCGTCCACTTGCCCTGCATCCATGGCACACAAGAAACAAGACGATTAAAACTAAGAATTTCACTTTAAAATGCCACTAACACAGCTTTAGCGTTTTGTATATAAAAAAAGCAAGGCTGGAGGCGAGTACAAGAGGCTCATCATCAGAAAGTTCGTCATCTCCGGCATCAGAAAGACTTGAAGGCTCTACATGGGATTTCTCCAAGGGACTACCAGAAATATCATCTTTTTCTTGAGTCCTTTCAGAATCTGACGCATCTTCCTCATTAACCCCTCTTGACCCTCCACTTAGTTCATCTGCTTCTTTCTCTTCTGAGTGTTGCATCTCCTCATTTCCATTTTCGGCATCTTGTGGGATACTGTCCATGTCTTCAGCAGGGATCCCTTCCGAACCAGGATTCTCTTCATCAGATTCCTCGGTATCATTTGGACTTTCTTCTGCATCTTTCCCTTGTCCTTCAGAAACAAACTTCACTTCCGTGTCAGATTCCCCCTCATCTGTCACGTTCTCGTCCACTTTTTCAGCATTCTCTTCTTCTGAACTACCTGCAAAAGAAATTGATTCAAGATTAGATACACAAACAAAACATGGAATCATTACACAAACAAAACATGGATCAGCCATCGTTACGTTTCATTACATGTCAGAATTCTTACAGGTCCACCCAGACCTTTGCACCAAACGTCATTGCCATTACAGATAGGTATATCATATGTCACAAGCACTATGGCATCAAGATGAAAACTGATGAGAAATCTTACCTGAGTCGATTTCATCAATTTTAGATGTAAGGGCAGCCTCATCATTCGATACTTCAGAACTCTCTTTGTCCCTACTTCCCCAATGATTTCTTTTTGATACACCCTTCTTCCCAGCCGAGTTTTTCTTTGGTGTTCTTCTCCTTTTAACTCTACAAAATCAGAGACCAATCACATTTACAATTTTCATTATTAAGAAAAAGAAAAAGTACCAGACAAATAAGCAAGGGATGCAAACTTCACTCACGTTTTAATTGGTTTTTTGTTCTCTCGCGAACCACCTGGGCGCTTATTCTTTTGACCAGGGGACCTGTAATAATAAAAGAGAAGAAAATGAGATGGCATACCATAGACATCAATACCACTATCCCGTTCAAGGCTAACAAATATTCCCCAAAATCGTTAGGTGAATCACTTTGAAGAACATATAATCTACAGGCTTGCATCAGAGAGACCATACTTACACTTCTTTTGAGGGGGATTTATTTGACGAATTTAACTTCTGTAAATGAGGAAACATGTAATGTGTCAGAATTATGTCATGATTTGTTCCTTTACTGGAAATGTGAAGTAGAACTGCAGAACGCTATCAGCTAGAGGAGAGAATTCTGATCAAAACTTTTCACACCTTTGTGGGCTTGCGACCTTTGTCAATGAGCTCCCACCGTTCCTTTTCTAACCGTAGTACTTCTACATCTCCATCTTCATACAGTATCTTCCATATGACATAAACAAGTGAAAATTATTTGTGCACATTTACAACAGGCTATCTATATATCCAAGAGATGATAAGGGAAAGAAAGTGCAGCTTACCACATGCTTCCTCTTTAACGTATCGAACGACTTCACTGTGCCTTCATAAAATCTGTAGATTTTAAAATAAGCCAAATAAGTATTTTAGTGCTTATTTATATTCTAGTTCTTATAAACTAGTTCATAATCATATAGTAGCAATGTAAGACGGAAATTAGAAATGAAAGGGACAGTTTTTGGGTATAATAATCAGCAAAAAGGAAAGCTTCAATCTGTATGTCTTGTCTGCAGATTATCTATTAGAGCACTCACCGCTTATCCATTGGCCACCAAACTTTTATTCTGCAACCAATCAAGTCTTCGACATCTTTTCCACTTTCCTTGAATTTGCACTACGGATGAAAATAGAAAACTGCATCAGTTCAGAAACGACATACTAATGATACCATAATGGAAGGTGTGCCAGTTTTAATGACACCACCACTGTGATGTTGGATATGAAGGTGTAAATCAACTACCTTTGCCAAACCAGAAATGCTCTTTCTTTTCCGCTTCTTGATGGATCCTGCAGGAGAGTTGAAATCACCATTTAGGTCATCCTTGTCAGCCTCCAGCACATTAGGCTCCTGCAATAAAGGTAGAACATAAGTTTATTACAATGTTGAACAGCTAAGAGAACCATGATGTTATGCATTTTGAATAAAAAAAAGTTGGAAGAGAACTCACTTCATGGTCACTGGCTTCTCCAACTTCATTTGTCTCATCATTAAGACCATGGTCAGAGGCTCTGCCTTTAAGTTGTGACGAGGAGGTAGCATTCTTCCGGAAGCATGAAACCAACAAATCTGACTTGGTGCCTTGTACCAGTTTTCTCTGCATAGACATTTTATTTTAGAGCTGTGGTGAATCCTAGCATTCATGTCGATGGATTGAAATGATAAAATTATTACATTGTCTACATCGTCTACTGAAGCACTTAGAGGAGACTTTGAAGTACTTCTAGGTGATCTGAAAGCACCATGAGCGGATGATGACCTCCTACGTTTAGGAATGGGGACAGACGTTGCCTCAGTAGATTTTCTTTTGTTTTCCTTTTCGTGCTTTAGATCCATTCTTGATTTCTTGCTTGGAAGATTTTCATGACCGTTGCTTGACACAAACTTAGAAGGCTTTTCCAAATTATCCAAATTTATATCCCTGACCATTTTCAATATATCAACACTATTTTCAGCATTCTCTGCATCAGCTGATGATGCCTTGTTCTTTTTTGCCTTTTTAGCCTTGGAATTTTGAGATCTTAAGCGCTTTATAATTCTTCCTAAAGGCACTTCACCTCCATCTCTTTCACCATCTTTCATAAGTTCATCTTCAGCAATCTCTGAAAGTCCCTATTGTGATGAAAGAAACGCATACAAGTTACTAAAAGATCAATGATACACCAAATATCACAGCATATTTCAAGAGTGCAAGTGTTCTTCAGTATTATAACATACCGTCTCACTAGACTCTAACTTAAGAGATTCAAAGTGAGCCAGCACAGAGTCTTCGGCCAACCACGTTTTCCCTTCACTGGCCTATCAAACACAAGCACTAAATTGGTATCATAAGAAATTGAGAATATGACCAAAATTAGCAAAATATTACAAGAAAAACTTGATGTTGGTTTAACTTTAACCCAAGTAGTTTAGCACAAAGCATTAGAATATCTTAAGCAGTCTGGCTCAATCACATATCATGGAAAGTGACTAATTCTTGAAAATAATTACGCTATTTTTCTTTTGAAGTCATGTTGTTTTGAGTTCTCAACTCTTGTACACAAGCAAGAAATCAGAATAGTCCACTTTCTAAGTCTAAAATGTGGGTTTAATCTCTCATTCCAGAAACTATAACCGCATGCTCAACACATAGGCAAGGCACCTGCTCTTGATCATTACATTACCTGCCTTATCCAGCAAGCGACTTAAAAAGGAAAAGGGATCCCTTACCATAGAGTCATCTCCTTCTTTCTTGTCATACTGTTTGTACAACATAGAAGGTAGAGGAACTGATGCAGGCAATCCTTGTAAATCATACTCCTTTGGGGATAAGCGCTTGGTAGCTGACAGCCCAAGGTCACAAATACCATGTGAATTCTGAAAATTTCAAAGTACCACATAAGTAAGCTTGAACAGGGGGAGGGACCGATGATTGAATATGCTCAGGAGAACCTGAATAAAGAAAACAGTATCAATCAACCTTTGACTTTGTTGCATCATATATATCTTCAGAGCACTTGATACTTTGAAAGATAGAGATTATAGCAGAAATATCCTCCTTTTCAATGTTGCTACTAGATTCTGACTTGACATCATCATCTCTATGCACCAACATAGACAGAAATAAGTGCAATTGCCTGTAAAATACAGAAAACGACAACTCAGTGAGAATGAGCATTAACAATAAAATAAATGCCAAGATACCATTTAACTACAGATATAGAATAATTCAGTCTCATTTTGTCAATCATTTCAGCTCTGATTTCATATAAAACATATCTATAAATTCATGTAAGAGGGAATATAATACCGGTATATCGGCTCAAATGCTTTCACATCCTTGCATTCATCAATATTAGGGCAAGAATGATGTGCAAGGGCATGAACCAAGTATGGGAGGATGTACTCCGGATAAGCAGTCAATGAATTGGCATCAGATTGCTGCATGGAGAGATGCCGCACCCTTGTTTGGTGATACATTTGAATAATGTCTGCGAGATTCTGTTTCTCCTGCCATTTCAACCAAAATACAAACTTCAGCCAATAAACATGCTAAAACAAGGATGATTACTCTGAATGAATAAATCCTAGTATCGATACCTCTTGAAACTCCACTGACTTTGATCCAGATGTGTTAAAAAAGAATGCACAAGCGTATTTTCCATCTAAAAGCCGGTCCTTCATGTATTGATGAACTTTGTTCAGGAAAATTTTCTTAGCTTGAGGGAAACTAATCTAGAAGACCAAAAACAATAAACAAATAAATAAAGACAAAAAAAGACATCTAGTTGCATGAATACGACAATTAAGTAATTGTATTAGGAAAAACATAACAAAAACAAAAAATACAGCAAGTAATACTGAAAAGATTAACCAGAAAAACTCCACCTCTGAAGTCTTCAAGGTTAAGTAGAAGATATCAACAGGTATCTTATGATTCCAGTGCTTGGACAGACGAAGAATCGCCTTTGCAGAAGCAAGCCTCAAATGAGCCTTGTCAACTGCACTGTAGATCACAAAAGCTTTACGTGAAATTTGACGCCGCATATTACAAACAACAAACTGAAGTAGATTGATCAACCTGATTCAACCATAACCAGAAAATGTACAATTTTGAACTTACCTTGTTTCTATGTCTTTTGATATTTCTCCACAAGAAAGTGTGTTTCTTAAGATTTCCAGCAGACCATCAATGCCAGAGCGAACATGAGCATCTTTGACAGGCAAATAACTTTTTACTAATGTCTTTATCCCGTATATCTACAATTCAAAAAAGAAAAAACCAAGAAAAATGAAAGAGCAACCCAATGTATAAGGAGCTTGCCAAAAGGTATTAAATCCAAAGAGTCACTGTATTACACTAATATATCCTGGAAAAGTTACCTAATTCCTTTTGGAGGATCAAAATGAACAAAGAAATTAAACCCACACAATTCTATACGATAAATAAAAATAAAAATCTCTCAAAATTGACCAACCTTTAGCAAACAAAGATCACTTTTGTCATCCCAGGATGCAATTTTATAGTCACCTGATTTCTGAAAAGTAAAGCATTCATACGCAAGAAAACAAATTATCATTGTGTCATAAAATTAAAGATATATCACAAGTTCAGTGAATTAGAGAGGCATACATTATTGCACTTTAGGATCTTTTCAATTATAAACTCTTCAATTTCCTTCTCTCTAGTTTCAAAAACTGGCATTGCAGTCTGAGCTATACACCCCAGAGATTGTAGTACAGCAGGCAAATGTGTCCTCTCCTCCAGCATATCCACAAGCCTCTGCAAATTGAGAAATATCAACTTCCCAACTGCTAACATTATCATAATATTATACAATTTAAGAGGATCTAATTGTGCACATAAAGTAACACTAATCTTAAACCTTGTATAGAACAGAGAGTGATTTAAGTCCATCATCCTTTGTTATCGCTGCGAGGGCATGTACAGCATACTTTGCCTGTCTTCGACTGCCCTCCAAACACAACCTCTCCAATACAAGGTCTATGGAACTGCAACATAAATATAGGACAACAATGAGCAATATATACGAGGGGAATAGCATAATAGTTCAAATTCCAACAATTGGACCTTGATGACACTGCAAGATGCTCCCGGATGGTACCACCAGCCTTTGCTAAAATATTCAAAACCCCTTCTTTTATGGTTTCATCATCGTCTTTAAGCAAATTTACTAGTTCTTCTCCTGTCCCACTGAGTAGTAATGGACTAAAGCGTGCAAGAATCTGAAAATGCATTAGAAGAGAATTAGGATTTAGACTTGAAAATGCTCAAATAACATCAAATTTTGGGGGAATGAAACTGGAAACTCTTGCTAACTATAATATATGAGGCCAAAGATGATAACATTGTAAGAACCTCCAATCTCAAATGATAAAAAAATTTGACCCTGAGGTCCCTGACAGATAATATAATAATACAAGAAAGCAAAAGTACGCAGAAATTTGGGACATAGTTGTTGATCCACAGACCAGGGGAAAAGTGTTGTTTACTAGCTTGAGCAGATAGTAATCAGAGCAAACATTTAACAGATTTGTCTACAAAAGCGATAGTAAGAATTGTATCCTTACCACCAAAATATTCATGCAAGATTGCACATATTTCATATCTGCGGTAGATTTGTGTACAAGAACCTCCAGAAGAATTTCCTTTACATGCTCTTTGTTGAAAAGTAGATAAGAACACTTCACTGAGAAAGTGCTAAGAAAATCATATAGTCGGTGTTTTTCACCTAGAATCCTAAGCAAATCATCCTGCAAATAAAATAAGGTTTGGATGAATATCAATTTAAATACAACCTCAACATGCAGTTTCCATGTCCTAATACAAAATAAGAAACCTGAGAGAAAATTAGGTTCAGAAATCATATCCTATACCAGGCTATTTTTTTTTTTTTTTTTTGGAGACAAAATGATAGAATTTTATGAAAACAATAGAAGGAATTACAACAAATGGATAAGAAATCAAACAACTAGCAAAACTAGCTAGGACCTCTCAAGTAGGACTACTTTACAAGTTAACTAAAGCTGAACCACATTCATTTTACAGCTGCTAAGACATCCATTCACTATATAAGAAAGAGAATAATCCCTGAACTCCCTGAACTCATTCAAAACTGATGCCCACAGGGCTGCCCAGTATCTTACTCTACCCCATAGTTCCTCTACTCCCACTCCCTAATAAACCTCACAGCCCCACAAAGCTTTAGCTTTCTTCCCCTTCCTAAAGCCTTGGTGCTTAGAAGCTCGAAACAACCCTTTGCAATAACCCAACTTGCTCTAACCTCCTTGAACAATTTCCACTACAGCTGTATCAAGCAAGAACAATGGAGAAAAACTAGACGGGTCATAGAATTGTAAAGCTATGTGAAGGTGGGATATGATAGGAAGTTTAATGCATATAGGCAGCAAATTAGTTGTCTTTGTGTGTGTGTGTTTTGCCCTGTTGGAGGTGGGGGTATCAACTAGCTAAAGTTGTTGACGTGACAATTATATGTCCAATGTGGTGAGATTGACACCCATTATGTTGATGCAATGGCAGAATGAGAGTAAAACATGAGGCATTTGATTTCAGATAGAGGTTGCCTTGCTAGTGCAAACCATTTTTGCCGCTTTTTATCGTTAAAGAACTTACTATAAAACATTACAATAGTGAGTGAGTTACTCCTTACCCGTAAGGTGCAAGCTTGCTGGGAGCCAGTGTTTGGATCAACAAGATTTGTTAAGATCTTCCAGATGTTAACGTCTTTCAGTTGATCAAGAAATTGAAAATTCTCTTCAGCCTTAACTGGGTCAGCAAACAACCGTGACATTATACGGAAGCAATAGAGAATTTTTTTTTGGACCTCAGGAGCATCACCATCCTGCATTTGAATCACAACGAGTCACATTGCTTGGGACATCATATGACATTGCACAGTTCAAACTTGGAGTATTTGCTAACCTGATGCATCTGCTTAAGTGCCAGATACTTCTGCATCTCTTGTTGTAACCTGCAATCCAAGAAGAAATCCCCTGAAAATCAGTTTACAAATCATCAAATACCAAGATCAAAAAGTTGAGGATTATTGAAAGTCGTAGCTTGGTATCCAATCCAAGCATTAACAACATACCTTTGCTTCTGCTCCAGAATCTTCTCAAGAGCCTTAACCTCAACTTTATCAAATCTTGAGAAGACCCTCACCCAATGTTTAACTTTATCTTTTACTGAAAAGTTAGTTGGGAACAGGGACTCGCAGAGAACATTTTCAATTGTATCAGATCTGCAAAATTGAAGTGCTCAACATTCAGACTCAAAAAGAAGGTAGCAAGTGGGAAAACCCCAAAATATAAAATACTATTAAAGCTACCACTCGACAATAAATCTAATGTGTTGGTCATCAATACAATCATGACCATTCACTGTAAACAATTTGAGTTTCTGCACTTGCAGTTGTCAGAACCTGAATCTCAACAACAAACATGATAGACTACCCATGCATAGTATTAGTAGATTACAACCTGTGTCAAGTGTCGATCTAGGAACCTTGGTTATTTTAAATAGGCAAATCATCACGTAGAAAAGTAGTTAATAGATCTTCAATCAAACCATTTGACAAACAAAAAAAGTCAGAGAGTGAATCAGAATTTTCTTATAACGCATTTTATTAATTAATATATTAAATAAATAAATAAAAATCTCACAACAAGGACGAACTAGATATACATCAAGATCTTGAACCTATCATTACTTGGTTCCTCCTATCACAATCTGCTACTGCTGTACAATGAAAACAGCAAAAGCCTATATATAACAAATATGTATATGACGTATTGGACTACGCAAACTTCCAATAAACAACTGAAACCCTGAAGGGCTTACCTGAAATCTTTGTCATAAAAACATCTCAGAATCTTCCCAGGAATCCAATCAAAATCACTGGATAGGAGTGGACCATCAGAGCACTTTGCGCAATAAACCCTGAATATCTCAGCTAACCTCTCCATGGTATACTTTTTAACAAGTAGCTGAGAAGGGGAAAATGGAGCATTATGAAAAATGGACAGGAAAAAAAAATTACTAAATGGACACAAATAAAGATATGGGGGACAAGTGTATATACAGATTTATCTCGAAGGCGCTCTGCAACCAGTTTTATAGTTTCTAGTGGAATGGAACTAAGGGCATGACATGCCACATCATAAACTACAGCAACAACTTGCTTTCGTACTTTTTCTTCAAAGTCCAATAGCCGGTCACAGAGGGCAGCTAGAAAATGTTATTTCAGCCCACAATCAGCAGGTGAAGGATATGAAAGGATTTGACAGCATGCATCTAAATACTCCAAAGAACTTACAAATTATTTCGGGAGCTTCAGTTCTGAAAGGATTTGACAGCATACAGCTCTTGACATGTTGGAGGACCAACATGCGAACCTCCACAACTCTATCAGTCAACCTCTTCAAGAACTCTGAAAAGATTGGCTGAAAGGCTTCGAAGATGGTAGAGCCTGGCAGAGAGAATAGGTCTCCAACTAAACTAACCGCTTTTAAACGAGTTTCTAGCTGATCAGTCTGCAGACGTTCAAAATTTTCCTTTAAATTTGTTCATCCAACTAAAAATATCCATGTCATGTAGTATGAAGAGCTGAAATGTCAGACATTGGATTAGTATATACCAGTAACTCTCCTGTCAGGTATGGGACAACTCCTGATAAGATTTGGGGAGCACAACGATATACATCATAGATGACTTCATGGTAATCAATCTGATGATTCTCAGACTTGTTGTCTCCTGACATTGATGATATAAGAAATTGTTTAATGCCAGATTCAAGCTTTCCTGTGCACTGTTCTATAACATTCATGGCAAGCCTCCTAGCAGCCACAGTGATATCCTAGTATTTGAATTTCACAAGGTCAGCACACAATGTAACTTGACCCAGAAAAACTATAAAATTAATTCCACAGACCAGAGAATAGAGAAGATTCTTACACTTCTATTACGACCTAATATAGACAATACAATAAACAAAAGATCATCTCGCAATTCCTCGCTCTCTTCTAAGAGCACAACCATGATTGTTTGCATCGATGACAAAACAGTTTCTTGGTGATCATCTCTGCATATGTGACAAATTTCAAAACATTAATTATTAAATTGAAGCAGAAACTATTCCTTCAAAAATAATCATTTAGAAAGAAGAAAGAAATGCAGTCAACCAATTAACAGCAACCCAACCACCCCTTCCCAGGGCACTTTTAAGTTTTAGCAGATAACATGTGTTGCTACTAGTTGTATCCCATGTTAACTTTCTATTTGAAGGATTCACATTTTATAAGATAAAGGTTCTCTTGTTTCAAGTATTGCATCTTTGTTCTATCATTATAGGAAAGCTATTTTTGAAACTAACCAACCAATTGATGCCCATTATCAGACTGATCTATAGACATTATCTTGGAAATATATAGCAACATAGATTATAGAGTTCCAGTAACTTAATCAAAGTAAATTAACTCATGAAACATAGTGAAAAGAAAGGAACACCTTAGAGAGATGATCATATGCTTTGAAGGATACGATAACAAGATACTTCAAAGTTCAAACTCATATACATATAATTACAGGAAACAAAACAAACCTGGCAACTGCAAAAAATGTACTGAACATTTCATTCACCAGATCATCACATTCGAGGTCCAACATTACAACACATGACCTATATTTGGCAAGAGTCTCCAAAATGAGTACTCTTCTACCAAATGATGGACCACTTGTATCTTTCAATCCACTAAAAGTTCCCACAATCAAGTGAAATATATCCTGCAAAGATATTCGGAACAATCAGGTGAGACTGAGAGTACACATTGACAAAATGAAAACACAGTATATCCTTAAACCAGCTGACTTAATAAATAAATGCACCTTTAGTACTTCATCACTATAAGGAGCTTCAGGTGCAGTAATCCGAGTTATCTCACAAATACAAGTTGCTACTAGAAGCTTGACGTCTCTATCTTGATGCTTCAACAGTTCTGGCTTGACAATTGCATTAAGTAAAGGCTGCATTGACTCCAACGTAGACACTGGAGGTGATTGATCCAAGTCCGAAAGACATGATGCAGCTTGCTGCAAGTTGGAAGAAAATAATCAATAATAATAAAATTCAACCTAAATTTACATGCAAATTACACAAGTCACACAATTATATGCATCCACTTTACTGATTATCAGAAGAATGTTTAGAGTATTGTTTAAAACTGAAAAATTGCAACAGACATTAATTAGTGGAACAATGGGTTAACAGAAAAGATGAAATCATAAAGATCTGTTCTTATCATCACGAGAAAATATAAAATAACATTGAAATTTCCATGATTCTTATAGTCATTTTGCAATTCAGAATAACAAACCTATATTTCTATTCCACTAGCTATAAACAAATTAAAATTCTTATAGTCATTAGGTCACTGAAATATTTATCACATAGAATGGGTACAATATGCTTTCACATTTGGACTGATAGTTGGCACATTGCAAAACAACTAGCAAAAATGCTTTTTTGGCCATCAGATGTGCTTAAATTTAACAAATCATGAGAATAATTGAACTTCAATGTCAAGTCATGTACTTTTTCCCAGTTATCAAGAAAATCTAGAATCTTTCCACGTGTAAATCTGGAGCAGTCTCACAAGTGAACATAATACTTGGAATCCCGATTTTGTTTCTTCCACTCACTTGTTTCGCATCTAAATACCACAGACATAACTAGCCACCACTAAAGCCACACAGCACGAGGGCATGAATATTAACCCTAAATCAGAGAAATTGTCCCCCAAACTTGTTCAAATTTAAGAAAATCAAAACTTCTAAACAGAGAAAGTTCACTGAACACTCGGTCGAATCCCTAAAATCCAAAAAAGAAGTGTAATTTGAAATCTTAAGGCTAACTATGTTTAATCTCCTCACCAAAACCCTAATTGAACTAGTTAATTTATATGCTGTAGCCGAGAATTTCAATCTCGACGAAGAAATTACCATGGAGAAAAAGTGAACGGAACTCAAAATTTCTAATACTAGCTTTCGCTTTCTTTTCACCTGTTTCGTAGCAACCAAACAGAAAATAACTAAAATAACTAAACGTTACCGAGCGTCAATTTCCACGAAACAGGAGAAGTTTTTGAGTAATAATTCCGAAGGAGAAGAAAAATTGGGTACACAAAATAAGGAATTAGAGAAATGCAAAACCTTTAAGAGCTTGACGAGAGCGTCTTTGGAAGAATGAGGGGTCTCGAGCTTCGATCCCACCTCCTTGAGCAGCTGCTCGAGCTTTTGGGCCATCTCTTCGTGGGAGGGAGCAAACGCTGTCGTTTCAGGGCAGTGAGACCTCCCTCATGGAGTCGATAAGGGTGAGAATCAAGATAGTGGAGGAAGAGGAGCTTCTTGTTTGTCTGTCTATTTTTTCTGGGCCGCGACTCACTGAGTGTGCCCGAGTTTGTTTCTCTCTCTCGAGTCTCGGGGGGTTGGCCCTTTCGAACAACGATGCGAAATGAACTGCGAATGTAAGAGAAATTTTTTGACTTCGCAAGTACTGCCCCTACCCCTTTATATATTAACAACTCTTATTATAGATGGCACATTTCCTTTATTGCCGCTATATTTTAGTTATTTCCCAGTCATGTCCCTGTTGACCACATTTCTCCATTTTTTAGTTGGCAAACACCGTTTTGTTGTTTTTCTCTTGTTTTTAAAAAAAAGAAGATAATACTAGAGAAAATAATTTTTTACACTAAATTTTGTATATCAAATGAGGTGGATGTTGATGATTGGATTATTATTTAAATATTAATTAACGTGTTTATTTTTTATTAATAACATGTTATTTAGTTTACAAATTTAGTTTGAAATTTTGATTTCCCTAACATTAGAGCTTGTTCCATTCTGAAACCTTTTGGACGACGCTAGGAAATATTGCACTAAAATGCACACCTCTCGTGGCGGGCCAAGTCCCAGTTTTGATTGCTTGGACATTTTCTGAAAGGAAAAAAAGAAAGTTTTCAAAAATAATTGACTTACTCAAAAATTTTATTACAACGATGTATTTACAAGAAACTGAAAAATAATTCAATATCTTACTTACTATCTACAAGGGCTATAACTTAACATTTTTTTACTTGTAAGTAGAAGATGAATATAACTCATAGTAAATTCTAAATGAGCCAGGTACCCTAGATCATTGTTGCAAGAACAATCGTCATGTGCATGTTAGGGTGCATTTACTTGTCTACAAATTTGTGATTAAAGAACGTTTACCATGCACGTGTCATAACTGCTTGTTTTCACCATCTAAATATCATTTATGAACAAAATTAGATTCCTAATAAGTTACATAGAAATTTGATCGTGCTTGTTTAATCACAAAGATAAGCTCTTATGAGTTTTTGACTGGATAAAGTTGTAAAATACCAAATGAAAAGTAATACGAAAAAATACCAAATCATAGGTAGCAACAAATGCATGGGGAGAATCAATGCAATGCCAACATCGTAACATGCTTTTGAGCATGGTACTTGAAAGTGGACAGTTTGATACCTCGTTTGGTCGAAGAAACATGGACAGCTGTGTCACAATTGTTAAATTGACGCGGCCGGTCACATTTGTTAAATTGACGCAGCCGGTCGGTTTTCATACGGTTTAAGTTGTAAGTGAATAATACTAGGAGTGACTTTTTAGAGTATAAATATCATTTTTCGTTCAAGTAAACAATACCAAGATTATTTCGTTAAAACCCCCTAATTTTATTCTATATATTTTATTTCGGTCTCAATACCATATAAAAGTGCTCTTATTCTAAAGTATCAAATTCAATGTATTTAGCCACTTAATACTACAGTTTAGTAGTATTCTTCTTTACTTGTAAGTGAAAAGACTGAGGTGCTATTCTCACCAAAGGCGAATTTAAACCACATTATTGGTAACCTAATGTGAGGGCTAAACCCACCTTTTTCCCTTAGTGTGGATAATACCGTTTGTTAAATAAATAAGTAAAATTCAATGTATTTGAAAAAAGGGGTATGGGGCCCTTAATAGACGCTACCAAAGGCCTTTTTTTTGGTTCGGGTTTGGAAACTGGAGTTGTGAATGCAGATTATGTTTTGCTATGCGGTGAACAAAAGGTGCAGCGAGCCGGGTCATCTGTGGTTGACAGGGTGCAAGGGAGAGATGGGGAATGCATTGAAGAAGCTGCCGGGGTTTGAGAATAAACACCAGGAGAAAGAAAAGCTGTAAACGACGGCAAGTTGGCAACCGCTTTAGTCATGAAAAAAAGGTTGGAGAATTCTGAAGGGTATCCAAACAAATTTGAACTATTCAAGTATATATGGTTCCTTAACTTGATGATGGCTTCTCCAGTCTCCACATGAAAGTCCAGTCGACTCTCACGTTTCATGTCACATCATAGTTTGTTCTACACGTTAAATTATTATTATTTTTTTTAACAAACGATATTATGTAGACTAAACCTTACAGTGGGCTAGTAATAATGTGGTTCAAATTTGTCTTTGGCGAAAATAGAACCTAAGACTTCTCACGTGAAGAGGAATATCACTAAACCGTTAACAAATTATTAAGCGTGAACAGATAACAGAAGTAGTTTAAGTTTGTGTATGATGTTTCGCAGCAGTTCATCTGCAAATGTTAATTATAAAAAAGTTTTAAAAAAATGACCAATTGGCTTCCATAGCATAGTGGTAGTGCGTTCGCTTCGTAAGCGAAAGGTCGCGAGTTCGATCCTCGCTGGGAGCTAATTTCTTCTTTTTTTTTTTTTTTTTTTTTTTTGGTCCCGACTATCTTTGCAAGGTTTAGACGTAGAGACAATGCCGGATGGAGTGCGGTCATCGATTAAGATTCAAGCAAAAACACCCCAATTAATGCAGACAACTAAAACCTCAGCGTCCTTAATTTTATTACAGTACTACTTGTCGTCGCAGGACCGACCTAACATTACATTATTCAGTTCACCAGTCAGCACTTTGGTGATTTCATTTCATGCATTCACACTCCACCACTTGGACCATTTGCACCATTTGCATGTGGCTGATGGTGATCACCATTTGGCATTGCGGCAGAACCACCACCCTGGAGCTGGGTGGACGATCCAGATGCTGCTGCAGCATTCGCATTATTGTTGGAGACGGACACATCGGACGGCTGCATGTAACCAAAAAGGCCATGGCCATGCTGATGATGAAAAGCAGCCGCCATAGAGGTGCCATAGTACTGGTGGTGATCCATTGACCTGCTGCTGGTACCACTACTAGCACCCGCCCCCTTGGCCAAGGACTCGCTTCTCATCAAAGAGGTGGTGGAGGACCCACGCTCGCCCTCCATCTCGCGGTAGCGGTGCAGGTAGAGGGTGAGTGGCTCGATGTAGTCATCAAAGCCGAGCTTGCTCATGGCCCACAGCACGTCTTCAGCAGTGATGGTCTTCCGCTGCTCACGCTGGCAGCGCTCGTTGGCCTCCCCGGTGATGAAGCTGATGTACTCGGAGACGCACTCTTGGATGGTTTCCTTGGCGTCGTCAGAGATCTTGGCATGTGGGGGAAGGATCTTGCGCATGATTCTTATCACATTGGCTATCGGCATAAAACGGTCTTGCTCTCGCACCATGCACTCGTTATCATCGGCAGTGCCATTAGTGGTATTGGCATTGGAGGGGTGGTTAACGTTGTTGTTGTTGAAAACATTGTTAACGTTGGTGGTGGCCGTAGTCTGTCTCCCCATCCCCATGCTGTATTGGTTCATCTCAGCCTGCCTCAGGTTGATATCTGATAGTTTCAGCACTGCATGGACTCTCAATTAATATATGAGTGTACGAATGATCGTGAAAATGGATAATACTTGCAGTACGTTTATGTTTGTTTTGGTTCATTAATATTATTTTCATTTGTACAAAAGGCCATGAATGTACAGACAGAAAATGAAAAACAAAATGTCTAAAAACAAATAAAACCTATAGAAATTTGACTATTTAGTTCCCGCGGTACGTACGTTTCTTTTTGGAAGGCAAATTAAGGAGAAGGAATGACGTATTTCAGTATTATATATAACTAGGGTTTTGTCTTTCCTGAATCGATATAAGAATAATTAAAACTCATGGGAAATTAGAATAATATTGTGGAATACAGGCAGAGACAAGAAGTCTAAGGCGGACGGATGGAGAGTGAAGTGGAGTGGGGCCGGGGGATGTGTGATCGTATATGTATATGCATGCATGGAGGCCACTTGTTCGGTATGGAGTCACAGATTGCATGTAAGATGGTTGCCACTTGTAAACTGTCTTCTCTTCTCTAGCTACGAGCCTAAGAGGACAGATCAGCAATATCTTTTTCAAATGAAAAAAATTGAGTTTTCATCGTAAAACTAATTAGTAATAATAAAAGTAACTCAATTAATTACAAGCTCATATATTGTTCATTCTTTCTCAAAGTTGGGATTCATAAATACTCTAAACCACAATGCATAATTATCAGATCGTGATCATATATATCAAGATATCGAGGAATCTGAACAGATCTATGTATAGATCGACTTTGGAAGAGAGGGAGCAGGTAGGATGTCTGTGTGTGATCACTGATCAATTAATTGAAAACAGAATGAAATGATAATTAAATCTTCAAGAATGGAGCTGCGATATATCGAAGGATGAGTACAAAAAGAGCTGAAACCTCTCAACTGTATTAAAATGGAATTAGAACTAATTAAAAATTAACTTGTGAAACAAATGATCATCAAATTGGTGCAAGATCTACACAAATGCATGTGTTTCCTTATAAGAGTGTACACCTATAGATAGATTTAAGAGACAGACAAACGACAGGCTATAAACTAACCAAGATATATACATCTAACGACATGCAATGCAATAGATATATAAAAATAGTGCCACACACACATATATGTCAAAGAAGAGAGTGTGTGTGTGTGTGTGTAGATATATTGTAGGAAATGTGAAATAATACGTAGGGAAGGGAATAGGGAAACTATATATAGTATAGGAAAAGGAAGAATAGTTTTTACCAGAAGCAGAGGTTGTGTTTGGGGTGGTCGCGGTCTTTTGGTAGCCATGGAAACCTCCTGATCGTTTCATTGTATTTTCCTGCCCTGATCTGCCTTTCTCTCACACTCTCAGTCTCACTCTCTCTCTCTCTCTCTCTCTCTCAACAGTTTTTGAAAGAGGAGAAGACTCGAGTCAAGTTTGAACCAGCCATTACTTGGCCAGGGTCCACCTTTATACTGCTTTAAAACATAATCCACGTGGCAATCCTAGCGCCGCGTATTCATTTTATTTATATTTATTTATTTTTAGAGTTCGGTAAAATGGTCCAACACTTGAGACGGATCGCTCTGTCGAAACCGGATCGCGTGATTCTTACATGGGCCTTTCTTTTCATTTTTTTCTTTTGACCCAAATGTAAAAAAGTTGTGGGCTTACGTTCATCAGTCCAGGACCCGTTCTTCAAATATATAATGTGATTTATTTATTAAAGAAAAGATATACAGTGAACTTAATAATTTAATTTCGTGAAAGAGTACGTCTTAACTCTTAACCCCACGGCCGGCAAGGCGACGATTTCCTTTACACTCTGGTCAGGCAGGGCATGGTTTTGTTTCCCTACACGGACAAACATCATGCACATTACATACACACCAGCATGGCAAATGACAGCACCGCCACCATTCCTCAACATTCATCACTATTCGAGTGTTGGTATCATAATTAAACACTTGAAGAAAATATGGATCAAGGAATTGGGTCTATTTTGGTGGCTGCCATTATGTTCGTCTCCCTCTTTCGATTAGCAAAGCAAACACCACGCCTCTGCGAAATGCATGCCCTTCAGACAGTCGCAGTAGAAAGTTAATTGTCAATACTCAATAGCATATAAAAAGTTCAATCAAGATACAACAAAATTAACCTTCACCAGAGAGATGTAAGATAATTCTCAAGAAGAAAATGACCGACCCAAACATCAATCAAACCACTAATCGTATAATATTAGCCATCCATCAAAGAGCAGAGCGGGGGAGCCCCAGCATTCATCTCAACTCATCCCTCTCTCTCTCTCTCTGTGAAACTTGCCTTCACTTGCATCCCCGTTATCAAAAGCAGGAGAGGTTTGAATACCGTCATCACTCCTTTTTTCACTCTTTTGCTCCTGTTTTTCAATCTTGGCCTCATTCTGGTTGCTTGTGCGGTTAAAGCCATTCCCGAAACTTACGAGTCCGCTTTTGTGGAGCAACTCCAATTCATGAAAATATGGACAAAGCTTGGCATTTGCCGAACGCTTACTGTCTGGTCCCATGCACCTTCTGAAATACTTGTTGATGTTTTCCCATTTCTCCCTGCACTTCCTTCCTGACCGGACAGTAGCCCATTTCTCCCATCTTAACAGATATCTCCTCCCATATGCGTCCTTTTGGAGTACCTGCAACGTGAAACTTGTGTTCGAAAGAAGCCCACAGCGTTATAAGGGCTTGTACTTCAGCTTCTGGCCATCTTCTATTCGTTGCATCACTACTCACCAACATCAGGTCTCTCTGCATGCCATTGTCTGCCTTCCCATTTCCTTCCATCCGTTGAAGATCATAATTAGGTACTACCGATAATGGTATTGGTGCTGGTGCTGGTGCGGGTGCTTGTTCCGGTACTGGTGATGGTGATGGTGATGGTTGGGGGACTTGATTTTCAGAGCCCAAATAATTCTGGATAAAGGAAATGAGCGCAAGGCTGCGAGATGTCTCTTGGGCTCTTATCTCCTTATCCCTTTTCAGTCTGTCTAACACCTGCTGCTTCCAGGCTTCTTCTCTTGCTAATCTCTCTTGCTCATTCTTTTCTATCACCTCTATCAACTGCTTATGCATCTGCTCTTGCTGCTCCATCACTTTCTTCACCAGACTTTCCAGAAAAAGCTCGACCCTTTCAATTTCAAGTCTGTTTCCGGTCCTCACATTTGTCTTTCTCTTCCGTTTCATGGGTTCTTCACCTTGTGCTTTCAAACACTTATCACGATCATCATCATCATCCGCCGATGAACTGAACGAAAATGGACAACACTCTGTTAAAGTTAAAATGGTAAGGGAATGCTAACTTGGTTGATTAAAACAACATACATTTCAACACTCTGTTAAGCTGGTACTAGTTAAAAAAGCAATGTCTTTATTGAACTGTTTAGGAGACTGATCAAACTTCAAATTATGATTAGTAAAATAAACAAATAAATAAACACTAATCAACCTTCAAATGGCCAACAAGTCAGAATCTCACGTCTCCTAGTTTCCACACTCCACAATCTAAAGACCAACCAACCATTATATGTAGGAATATACAGACCACCAATTATCTTTTAATTTTATGGGTCAGGGTTTAGGAAAACAATACACTTATTTATCGATGAGAGTAAGTCACTAAACCAAACCATCATCATGTGCTTATATAACACGACATGCCGTATACAAAAACCAGCAGTACATCAAATAATTTAACGGACCATAATCCATTAATCTAATTACCCCATTGCTCACACAATTATGATAAAAATAAATAAAAAGATAAAGAAACAATCTTTATTTGTTTGGTTAACAAAAAGATTCAAGCTTTGGATTGGAGTTAAAAGAAAACAAAGACTGACCTGGACTCGTCCTCCAGCTCGTCTCCCGACCCAACTTTAGCCGGACCAACATCCTCCAGCTTTCCTCCGCTGTCCATCGGAGACCTGCCGCCACCGCCCCTGACAGGACGCAGCTTCTGGGGCGGCGAGGGAACCGCGGGCGTCGGATTCTCGAACACAAGGTCGTACGTGCTCTCAGGGAACGGGGATATCTGCTCTCCAAAGGCGTCCGAGTTCGGTAAGTGCCGCCCGCCGGTTAACTCTGCCATAAACCTCACGCCCCCGGGGACGACCACGGTAAAAATGAGAAATTCAATTTCTTTTACATATTTATTTAAAAACCAAAGAAAAAATAAAAAGGAGGTAAAGCCAGGGAAAGATAACAGCGGCGCGAGCGAGGGTTTTTGGGCCGACAACTTGAGAGCGGTGGGTGAAAACGCAATGAATTTTGGTAAATGGAAAGTAAAATTGAGGTAAAAGGCCCTTTTAAAACTTGAATTTACGGAGGTCATCAATTTTGTCAGTGGAGTCACGTGCCTACTGCGTGATCATCTCACATGCCACGCGTGTGCCCATTCCTCTCTTCTTTTTTTAATTTTGGTCAACAATGGCCACTGACTCTCTCCTGCTAATATGGTAAGAAAACTACCAAACATTTGGTCAGCTCTCTGCTTGCCGATCATCATCAATGGCTGCCCAAACTGAAAGTCGTGGTGGTGGTGGAGGGGAGGTGAAGAAGCTGCTTAGCGCAGTGAATGACCATTACGGATGTGTGATCGTCCACGTCACTCAGCACATGGATCCTGCTACCTTCGTATCCTCTCTTACCTCTTCGATTGCACATTGGAAGCTGCAGGTATTTACTTCAATCTTTCATAATTTCATCGCCAATCTTTCTTGGATCGATTGGAGAGAATTTTGCAGTTATAAGTACTTTTATTAGAAAGACTAAAGTACTTATCTTTTTTATTTTGCTGAAAGCCTAGTAGTATTCATAACTCATAAGCATCTGGGCTTACCCTTAGGTCGGCGTAGCCCCTGTTCATTGGGATTCTTATAGTAATTTTAAGTTTTAACAAAGCCTTAGTAATACCAAGTTTAAGAAAAAAAAAATATGCCAAACTTAATATTTGTACAGGGAAAGAAGGGTGTTTCGATCAGATTGGCAATAGAGCGAGTCAATCTTGTTGAAGCTGCGGTCAAGGTCAAGCTCCTATTCTGTTCATGCTTTTCTTTCTTCTTGCTAATGTTGATAATTCAAATTTGTTCTGTATATGTATAGATTACTTACGATATATTGGGGAGGAGTGAATTGCAGGAAGGATTCTGGTATACCATGCAGAGCCTGATGATTTGATGCTCGTGTATTGGATTCCTCAGTCCCCTCATACTCTTCCCACAAATGCAACACACCGTGTGGGAATTGGTGCCTTTATCATCAATCAAAACAGAGAGATATATGCATTTTCTATTTCTAACGCCCCAGCCGCCACTATCACTTTTATCTCAAATGTTCACATAGCGCTTCTTTCTTTCATTTTCATTTAATTTACTCAAAGTAAGGGAACTTCTTAATCTTTATGTAGTTATAAATCTGTAGTTTCCATCTTGCTCGCTTCATTTGTGTGTGTGTGTGTGTTTATGTTCCTTCCATCGAACAATCATCTGAATAAGTGAATTTTTCATGTCTACATTAATTTTCTGGACTTGCATACTCCTACATATCGTGGGACAGGTGTGTGGAAGCTCCCCACTGGAGTCGTTGATGAGGTGTGTGCATTCCAACAAGCATTGTTTTCCATTCTCAGATCTTCAGAGTTGGGTGGGAGAAGATATCTTTGCAGCTGCTGTCCGAGAAGTGAAGGAAGAAACCGGAGTAACTAGTTTTCCGACTTACCATTTAGTGAGTGTACATATTAGCTTATTAATGCGATTTCTCATTTCACTTTTTTTTGTTATTAATTATGTTGTTTCAGATTGACTCAGAGTTTGTGGAAGTTGTTACCGTCAGGTATGAATTGTATGAAGTCCTTGTCTATCAATTGGGTGGAGCCATGTGTAAGCTTATAAACTTAAATCTGACTACTTTGTACAATGAGTTGCAATCTTTACCTGCGAGCATGAAGCTACATTCAAACTGGTATTTAGGGGGAAGCATGTCGTTCACTCTTATGCACTGCACGACGAAAGCAAGATTTTATACTGTGTGTATTTCATCATTTGTAAAATATACCGATAAATTCAATGAAAACATCGGAAGAGAGTCCTAGTTAAATGGATAACTGCATTGTCTAGAGTATTTACAATGATGCCTATTTTGTACCGAATACGTGTTTGTATTGTATCCAAATTTTTCCATAGTTGGGAGTGGGGCAAAGGGGCAAAATAGAAGGAAAATTTGTTACCGGAATGGAATTAAAACAGGCTCACAATCAACAGCCATGTGTGTTGCTTTTTTTTTTCTTTTTACTTCCGTTTTTATTTAATTTTATTGAAAATAAATGAGAAGGAAAATAAGAAGGCTATTTTAGTCATTAAAAACATTATTCGAGTTTGGTGTTGGTTGAGGGCCGAGGGCTGAGGCTCAGCTTCGTCGTAGACATCGAACAACAACATTATCAATGGCCGCTGAAGGTGAAACTAGTTCAGAAAGTCTTGTTCTAAGTGGTATGCATGACCATTACGGAGGTGTCATCGTCCACATCAACGACAATGATCCCATTGATCCTGCCACCTTCCTTTCATTGCTTACCTCCTCTATTGCCCACTGGAAGCTTCAGGTAATTAATTAATTTTACTAGGAATTTCAATTTCTCATATATCCAGTTGAACGATTTATAACTATAGTTCTGATTGATTGTTGGGTGCAGGGGAAAAAGGGTGTTTGGATCAAGTTGCCTATAGAACGAGTCAATCTTGTTGAAGTTGCAGTCAAGGTCAATCTCCCATTCTAACTTCTGTGATTTATTCATGCTCAATATTTGATTAATTGATTATTTAATTAATTAAGGTGGTGTTCCTTACATTACATACATATACGTGTGTGTAAAAGTACAACTAGTAGTTAATAGATGTTGGGCAGGAACGGATTGGGAATTGCAGGAGGGATTCTGGTACCATCATGCAGAGCCTAAGTATTTGATGCTCGTGTATTGGATTCCACAATCCTCTCACACTCTTCCTTCCAATGCCACCCACCGTGTCGGAATTGGCGCTTTCGTCCTCAACCCTACCACCAGACAGGTATACATACATTCCCAATTCTATGGTACCAACCCCTTTATCAATTTCTCATTTTATCCCTCTCATGTCAATTTCAAGTATTTTGCTTCTCAAAACTCCCAAGTTTGAGTTACTCTAGTCTTTAAGATTTTATGTGAGATCCATTTGTTTTATTTCCGAGACGATGGGATGTTTGGAACCTTTCACAACATTTGTTATTCTCCATGACTCTGCTTTAATGACTGGAACTTTTGGGTTTTGTAAACATTCAATGGTAGGTGCTAGCAGTCCAAGAAAAGAGCGGGGTTTTACAGGGGACAGGTGTGTGGAAGTTCCCTACTGGAGTTGTAGACGAGGTGTGTGTCTGCGTTCCTGGAAGTTTTGTTTTTGATTGTCACAGCAATGGAGTGTGGTTCAAGTCTAACCAATATATAAAACATTCTCTTGTGAAGGGAGAAGATATCTGTGTAGCTGCTGTGAGAGAAGTCAAAGAAGAAACTGGAGTTAGTATTTACATTGAATTTACACTTCCTTACATATGAGTGTAAATATTGGCTTCCTAAACGAATTTATTCTTCTGTGTTTCCCGTGGTTTCAGATTGACTCGGAGTTTGTAGAAGTTCTAGCATTCAGGTACTTATCGTGTTTTCTTCAGAGAAACTGTGTTGGTGTATGTTTAATCATCAAATCCAGTCTGATTGAGGGACTCGCAAGTTACTTAACTAAAAATATGTAGTTTTGGTGAATAATTTACAATCATATAAGACATTATTCTATGATTATGAAACTAATACATGACTACAAAGTTCAAACTTATTTTATAAATTAGGGCATGGCACCATGCTACCATGACTGTTATTGGGTTTAAATAAATCTCAATATTCCAGGCTCAATTATGTTAAGAACGTTGAACGATTAATCTACTCCTTTTATCTTGAGCTTATTATATGATTCTCATCGCTAGTTTTGCATGTTTACTTTGTAGTTCCTCTAGCTCTTTGGAATGGTTATAGTATTCATACCATTACTGTTACAATTTGCAGGCAAAGCCACAAGTCATTCTTTGAGAAGTCAGATTTATTTTTTGTGTGCATGATGCGACCCCTTTCCTTTGATATCCAAACGCAGGAACATGAGATTGAAGCAGCCCAGGTAATTTTTAGTTAAGGGAGGATAAGACATAAATTTATTTCCATCTTGACAGTGATTAACTCCCTTTTACAGATAGATAGGACGAATCTAAACTGTGCATACCTCTTCAAGTCCTTGTCATTTTCTTTCCCAATTTCCCCTGTGAATAAAGTATATTTACTGATAAACATTTCTACGTTCGTGACTCCGTACAAGTCTGGTGGTGTTGTAAATTTAATTGATGTGCTGTATCCATCTTGACTGTGAATTAGAGAAAATGAAGAAATACAGCACCTATAGAAGCTCTTGAATTGTATTTACAGTCGTGTGGTGTAATATGGCTTTGCAGTGGATGCCATTTGATGAGTATGCAGCCCAACCGTTTGTCCAGAATAACGAGCTTCTGAAATACATCAATGACGTATGCAAAACAAAGATGGATGGGCAGTATTCAGGATTTTCTCCACTACTTGCATCAAGTTTTTATGACCAAAAGGCGAGCTACTTGTACTTGAATAATACTAGTAAGGCGCCCAAGAGAGACGGTGGAGTTTGATCATCTATCGGTCCTTGAAATTTCGGAGCAAGGCAATTTATTTTGTAATCCAGAAAATTAATGGACGAATTTATGCCTTTCGCCTTTCTGAAGTATACACTACACTGATGCAGTGTAACAACCACCATGTAATAAGAACCATGGTTTAATAACAAATTATCTCCAGTCTTTGTCAAGGTTATATTGATTAACTTGTGTTAGCCATTGTCCGTTGAGGATAAAAAAAATTACATAAAAAACAACTGGCACGCATATTCATGCTAAAATGAATGTTAAAAAGAAAATCTGTTGATAAGATGTTGGTCCATGCAGGTCTCGAACCTGCAACCTTCGCGTTATTAGCACGACGCTCTAACCAGCTGAGCTAATAGGCCAGACAATTGGATGATTTAGAACAACAATACATAACGGCGTTCGAATATACGAAATGTGGTCATTGCAAACTTGGAATTATGGTCACGAATTTGCGGGGATGTGATCCATTAAAACATTATTCTTACCGGTGAATAGCACACCTACTTTTTCATCCTCCAAAGGAAACAAGAGAAAGAGAGAACGAGCGAACTGAATGTCTGTACGGTTATACCAATATTATCCAGTTTACAGGTATCCCTGAACTAGACAAACTTCTCAGATCAATGAATTATAGCTGTTTTGTATGCAACAGTTCGAAGTGTTAATCGGTCCCCTATGAAAGCGCGTTCGTTGCATACAAAACACGATTAGTACTGTGAATATATATCCAAATTAACATTATATATACTTAATTAACCCTACCTTGGTCTCCCATGCCCTGTGGAGGGTTTACCACCAGATCCATACAAATGACCTCCACGATGGTGATGTTGTTGATGACCCATCGTCATCATGGTCGTGGACTGCGTTGACATCACACCATACATTCCATTTATACTATCGCGTGCAGCACCATGACCATGCACATACAGCTGCTCTCTCTCATGATCGCGATGATATCGATCAGCGTGCCTTCCATGGCCTGCGGACATTCCAGTTCCCGTTCCAGCACTAGTATTGGTACTACCAGTCATCTTTTCACCCTCCATCTCTCTAAACTTGTGCAGGTAAACCTTGAGAGGCTCCACGTACTCCTCGAAGCCCAGCGTTGTCATGGCCCACAACAGGTCCTCGCCGTTGATGGTCTTCCTCTTCTCTCTCTGACACTTGTCGGAGGCTTCTCCGGTGATGAAGCTGATGAACTCGGAGACGCACTCCTGCACCGTCTCTTTGGCGTCCTTTGAAATCTTGCCGTTGGCCGGCAGACCTTTCTTCATGATCCTGCTCACGTTTGCAATCGGCAAAAACCTGTCCTGCTCTCTCTGCTGTTCTCTCGTTCCTCCTCCTCCTCCTCCAGAGTCGTTGTCCGAGTCAGCCATATATATATATATATGTATATATGTATATATAATGTTCACTTTCCTTACGTGACAATATACTGGCTAGGTATGAGCCCTATGAGAGGGCAGAGCGAGAGACAAGTGCTCGATCTTTATTCTTAATTTGACTAGCTATTAGGATATCAGGCTATTAAGAAATTATGAAAGTGAATTGACAAAGGAGGATGGTAATATAATTTGCTAAATTTGCTGCTCTTGCCCCTTGGAGAGGGTGGACTACGCTTTCAGACTGGAGTAGTACTGGCTAATCTTGGTTTGGTGTTAGATGTTGTGGTGTGGGAGATTATAATGCTTTGTCTGTGACATGTGGGATGGTCTTGGGCCGTTCGTTTATCGATAAGATTTTGACACCTGGCCTGTGCTCAGGATCTCACACGTATTCATGATATATAGATGATGCATCGTGACTCATCACTCGTCTAAAGCACAGGGAAGGAGATATCCTACAACTTTGAGTTGCGACTGTAATAATATAATGTTGCCTTATTTGTAATTATTGGTTTAAGATGCTACAGTTAAGTAATAATCGAAGTGGAGAAAAGTCTCACCCCTATAACAATTGTTTATATGAGTAATATTATTCATACCATTTTAGGTGACATTTGATGTAGATAGCCACATTATTTGAATTAATTAGATTTTTAAATTTAGTTCATTATTTAATAAACTAATAATTAAGAACAACTAGTTAATTAAATGATGATTGTGGTATACGAGGAGTCTTTTTCCTTCATTTTCTTGGGTTTTACAATTTTTTCAAATGGTATAATTGTTCAATATCATTTAAAATGATATAAAAATATAGTATAAAAATATGATATAAATAACATTATTTGTTTTACATATGTCTTGTGGAACGGTACTTATCCTCATCCGACTTGATTACTGCATTCCAATATTAGAGACGAGACATGCAAATCAAAATAAAAACAAACTAAAGTTGGTTATAGCATAAAGCCTTATTCCACCACCTCTTTCCATCATCAATTTCAATTGTGTTGGGCATTGTACATTGGAAAGAGACCCTCTCCGGATCCTTTTTATCAAGTTCACCAACTTCACTTATGAGAATCATGGAAATTTAATCTAACAGTTAAAGTTATTATAATTTTTAAAGAAGTTTCTTATTTATAACCGTTTGATCAAATTTCAATAATCCGAATGAATGAATTTGGTGGAAAAGATCGGAAGAGATCCCTATTCTTATACATCAACTTTAGGCTTAGAGACTTTTTTTTGCGTCAGATTTGAACGACTTTCCAATTCATTTCGTTGCGTGGGACCAACCATGCATTAGTGGCCAATAAAAATGAAAAATCATCTTCTCCGGATTCCTTTATTCTAATACATTTAATGATTAAAATTATTATAACTTTTAAAATAGCTTTCTATTTGTAGTTATTGAATCAAATTTCAATGATTTGAATTACTGAACTTTATGAATTATAAGGAAAAGATTCGAAGGAGATTCCTTTCCAATAAAAATAAGATCAGATGACACTATTGTACTTTATTGTCCACTTCAGACGGTTCTGATGATCCACATGCAATTTTTGAATGGGAAGGTGCGCCTTTGGACATGTTATTAATCAACATAAGTAATCACTCTAAATTTTATTTGTTAATTGTTGGTGTTTAAAGATTGGTTCCACACTTCCACTTTACAAAGCTTCAAAGAGTCGGAGTGTTAATTTTTTTTCGATCCGTAGTGTTAAAGTGAGTTATATATATTTCATCATGCAAATGCAAGTAGTAGGACAAGGGACCCCCACTCCACTACGTAATATGCACAATATGATGAATTGATGATCATGGATTCCGAATGAGGATTATTTCCAGATCTTCTTTGTGAGGATTTTAAGATTCTTTAATAATGTGTGTTTATCGTATATCGTGTGGTTATAAATTATTTTATTTAAAATTAAATATAAATAGTACCTAACGAAAACTGATTGTACGATGTACAATAAACAAACACGATTAAAGAATCTTTAAAATCCTCACAAAAAAGATCTAAAGGTTATCCTCAGTCATGGATCCCCTGCTTACATGCATCCAATTATCAAGATTCTCTACCCGAATTAGTTACCTGATCCAATAGGTTCAGGGCCTACTAATAAGCCCATGAAGTTATAGAGCTAGAGCTACAAGTAACACTTCTCCAGACCCAAAGCACTAATTAAGGATATGCACACTGCATGCATTTATTTATCTGATATTTTTCTTTTCATTTGTGCTAATCACGATCTATATCAGTATTAAACGTATGATTTATTTCTTTGAGGAGACAGTTTTAAATTTTAAAGGTATAAATTAAATGGTAAAACAAAGTGGAGCATCATGTTCATGTCTTATTCATAATTTATGTCCTAATCACAATTCTCATTTTGGTTAACCATCATAACCATCGCAGCCCAAATTGCACATTAATTTGGTTAAACATCAACAAAATAATGGGATGCGCTGTCACTTCCAAGTTTATATGTCTGACTCAACAAGCAAAATGAAGCTGCTTAATGGTTGTTTGGCGCCATTTTCACATTTAAATATCGTATTATTAAGTAGAAAAAAAAATATTATTTTCGACATTTTAAAAAGTTAATTATGCATTAAATATAAAAAAATTGTAGTGTATAATTAGATTTTTGAAGATTTATTTCTCAAAAAATAATAATTATAATCTATATAATAATTGCGGGTGCAAGACCTTTTATATTTGTTTAAAACCTGCAAAGGAAAACAAATGATCTAAAGTAACAATAAGTACGACTAAAGTGATGCAAGAAATGCAATTCATGACACAGACATTTTTATTCATAAATTTCGTGCAACTTGCAATAATTAAGGGGTCACTTTCAAGAATTGTTCAGATGCCATAATATTTACATATTTTGAAAGAAAAAAAATACAAATTTAGTTGTGTTCAAAGTTTTATAAATATATTTTGAGTTAGAAACTAACATGTTAATTTCCAAAACGCATCTAAATTAATATTTTAGAACTTACGCAATCTTGATGTTAATTACATCAGCATCATCAACATCAAGAGGTAATACATGAATTACAAATAAATACGTTGTATTCTTAGGCTTTGCTTCATTCTCTAATCTCTAGGTTACTTTCTTTCACTGAATATAAGAAATCACTTTCAGTTTTTGGAAATTTGGTGTGTGTGTGTGTGTGGCTGCTTGGGAAGGTTGTTCAACGATAACAAGCAACTGACAATTTCAGTTAACAATTTTCCCCAACAATATTCTAAGAATATTAATGTTATATATAATATCAACGTGCATGTCTCAACGTTATTTATTTTCATAAGTGCAATATGTGATTGCGAAACTAATGTAGCTATAGTATATACACAGAACAATAACACAATGCAGGGTTGCAAAGTAAGTGTAATGGTCAGTTCACCCACCCAAACAGAAACTTCTTCTTTCTTTGCTAAACGAATACAAGTTTATGCATTGGGTTTAGGATTAACCGATCGATTAAACTGAGGCTAAAGTTCTCCAACCTTTTGATCCTTTTCAGGTTAAATTATATTTGTTCATGTTTTGGATCAAACCTATCCAATATGTATAACTGCCGATCGAGACGTACGTGTGTGCGTCATTAGTTAATTAATTAATTTAATCTTGGTAAACGGCTTGTGTTTTGCGCTTAAAATCTGATTAACAAAAGAATACGTAGAAGACAAGAGTAGGCTACCAACCAACAAATTAACTTCCCCTCCACCTCTCCTACTTCTTCTGCCTTTTAAAGGTCGTTAAGACAGATATACCCTCCATTTCGTCTTGTTTTGAATAACCTTTTGTTCTGTTTAGTTGGCAGTAACTTCATTAATCAAATGACCAAAAACCACAACCTTTTTGGGTGTTGGTATGTCCACGACCACGAGGTTTATGCAATACGCACTGCGCATGCATAGAGATCCATCTATATATTTAAAGGGCAAAAGGGTAACTCTATCAGGATGTAGGTGGGAGACAAGGACTGCGAAGGTACGTAATATTAACCAGTGATTGAGGGTATTATGTGGAATTTAAATGGGACCATCGCGAGGGCATTAACTTACTATAAAACCAAAACCAAAACCAAAGGAGGAGTACTGATGATCAACTCACGTAGAGGTAACACAAAGAAGATGAGCTACTACAATATTTGCGCCTCCAACAAGCTTCTGAAGATGAGCTGCATCATTTTATTCAACTTATTAATCATCGGCAGCAGCCTCGTCACAAGATCGATTTCAATGGCGATGGCGGATATTATTAATGATCACGGAGGACAAGGAGGAGGAGGAAGGGGAGGAGGAGTGGTACAAGTACAACAGGATGAAATTAATAATAACCCGTTAGAGCAGCTGATGTCCAGCCAAGAAGATATGATGCAGGTTGCTGGATATGGAGAAGAAAAGCTTTCCACCGTCCTTATTACAGGCTCCGTCCATTGCGAGGAGGCTTGTATTAATCATAATAATTTGAATATTTTGCATCCTGATCAAACTGATCGTGATCAGCTTCATCTTCATGCATGGCCTCTATCAGGTGTGTAGTTTAATTTATATACTTGAATGCTACAACAATCCTGATATATCTAGATACGAATCTGCATATATATGTTTACGGCATTTATAGATTAATCTCCTACATCATGCAATTAGTTGTGTACGCGTTCACTTGTTGAGTTGTTGTTGTTTATGTCTCATCCATTCTGTGGCAAACTTTATACCTTTAATTATTTGTCATGTAGTTTCATCATTGATAAACTTCATTTACGCAGTATAACCAACTATATACATATAGCAACAATTTAGACTACCTACTTCAACAATATAAAACCACTACTCCATTTTCGTCTTTCTTCCTTTAATTTTTCCTCTTAGATGTATCCTTATCATAATCTTAGATTATATAAGAGCTGAGGAATCCATGCTCAGCGTGCCAATAATTTATAAGTTTATAAGTTTGAATTTTAGGGTTATGAAACTAAAACTTGAATTAAGTGGTCTCCTCCAGCTCCAAGGAGTTGTTCTTCTTCATATATCAAACATGATATACTCTTAGCCACCACCTTCGTTATTTTTTATGAATATTTTATGAAGACACATATTCTGTGTCTTTGTGAATAACTGCTCCTTAAAGCAATCAGCTGACATTTTGATGTTCACGTTGGACCAGCGAAAATCAACTTCTCCTAATTGATTTGGACATATTAAATGGGGTTCAAGGCAGACCGGTATTAGTATTATCATCCATTAACTATGGATCATTGCACCTTACAGAAAGCAATTCACGATCGACTTTATACTGCTAATTAAGCTACACTTTATTTGACTTGGATGAAAAGCAAAAACACCGTTTTACACATTTTGTGGTGTTTTTTTTTTAATTAATTCGTCGAAATAATTTCATCGAAAATAACATTCAAGGGAAAAAAAAAATGAGCTAGCGATATATTTGGCCCAATAAGACAGAATCATATATATAATTAAGTCATGTTATGATCATTTAATTTACAAATTCAATTAATCAGAATATTAATTTCCAATTAACTACAAAACCATTGTTCAATCAATCGATGTGTATATTCACCATCTGTTTTTATTTGGTCAAAATCTGCAGGTGCTTTGGTGTCCGTCAATTGCCGTGTCAGTGGGAGAAGAAAATCCAGTTTGGCACAAGGCGTCACAGACGAATTTGGGGATTTCATGATCGATCTTCCTTCCAATCTACATACAATTCCCAACTTGGACAAAACGTGTTGTGTTCGAGTACTTGGAATACCAAAGAATGCACAATGCCGACCCGCTTCCGTCAGGAGGCACAAAGGACTCAAACTATCGTCCGTTGGTAATGGCATCCGAACCTACACCGCCGGCACGATAAGGTTCCAGCATTTGACCTCTAAACCTTCACAAGCATGCGTTGAGGAAGCAAGCAACAACAATAAGATATGATCGTACAGATCCATTGCATATTAGACAGGGATCCTGGATGGCGCTTCAGTCACAGCATTGATATGCAAGGCTTTGTACACATCGTACTTATCAGATATAAAGTATATACCTTTATAGGAAAAGTGTGACGACAGATATCATGTGTGTAAATGCTTCGGAAGATAAATATCATATTTTATAAGACAAAGCAAGGAATTTTATCAAAGAAAAAAAAAAATTAAGACTGCTTTTTTATCAAGGAATTTTATCAAGGAAAACAGAAAACGACATCATCGGTCATCATCGGTAGGTGTTGACAAAAAAAAAAAACCCAACAGCAGCAAAGGATTTAGATCATACGATGAAACAAAGCAGAGATTGGTCACTCACGAGGCTGCCGCTGTAGTTCGCTATCTGTTTGATTAAATGCCGCACTGAAAAACAAATTCTCGAATTAAAGCTCTCGCTGCTTTTCCCGTTTTTCAGATCGCTTTACGGGGTAGAGGCCTTTTGTCTGAAAATATAGGGGACGATGAGATAGGTCTGCCGGCCAATGAGTGCGTGAGGGTGATTGGACCAATCCTGTATGCCCTTTTGGAACCTAGTTAATCTAATAACAAAAGGCCCGACCCAACTCAACACAACACACACTCTCATCTTTATTCCTTTTTTGCTAAGAAACAAAATTCTATTTCTTCTTTCATTTTCACAAGGTAACTCGAAATTATTCTAATCTACGGAATTCCAACTCAAGTAGAAATGTATGATTATGTTATCCTAATCAACTGACCTTATTCACGTTTGTGCATTCTCTTTTTTAACTTTTGAGCAACCATATAATTGCCTACATAATATATGCATTAGTAATTACTCCAATGGGAAAAGTCCATTCCCCAAACCCAAAAGGGAAGAAACCACAAAATGAAGTGTCTTGGGGGAGTGAGAAGTGGGAGGCAGAGAAAGGGTTGGATAAAAGGGAAAAGAAGGACTCTGTCAAAATGTGATGACGTGAGGAGCAAGGGCATTTCCCCATCAAACCAACAAAATGATTGGGCATTGGGCTACCATTCCATTTCCATCTTCCAAACTCATCGGAGATTATTACTTCCTCTTTCTCCATCCATTATTATTCTTTCTTTAATATCATTATTACGATTGCGATTATTACTCACCCATCAATTAATTTACTACTTACTACTTACCCTCCGTCCTCCATCCTCCATTCCCCTCCCTTTTTCCACTTTTCTTCTTTCCATCTGCCGATTCTGCCCCCCCTGCCCCTACCCCTACCCCTACCCCCTACCCCTACCCGCCCCCACCTTTTTCCTTTGTGTTTGTTGTTGCTTAATGCTCCCTCTTCTTAATCTAATAAATCTCTCTTTTGCTCTCTTTCTCTCTCTCTCTCTCTCTCTCTCTATTTATATTAAACGGGGGGGTTCTCTTTGCTGGGCTCTTTCTTTTCGTTTTGACGCCCAATCAATCTAAATTCGTGAGCTTTGTGGGATTTAAGGTTGCATCGTATGAGATTGGATTCCAATTCTGCAAAGTGGGTATTTATTATGCATCTGTAGTTTTATTTTCTTGGCTTGGTGCTTGGTGCTTGTTGCTAGCAGAGGTCATATCCAAGCAATTGGGATGGGGAATGTGAATGGGAGAGAAGATGGTGGTGGAAGCCCCTCTGCGGCCGAGGAAGACAGCGGTGCCGTCGGCATCTTGCAGGAGGGCCCTGCCCACGGCGGCCGTCTTGTTCATGGCTCCGCTGAGTTGATGGGTCAATCACCTCCTCATAGCCCTAGGGCCACTCACTCCCCTTTGATGTTCACTCCCCAAGTCAGTTCCTTTTTCTCTCCTCATCTTACTTGTTTTCAAGGTTTTTGCTTTTCTTAATTTTTCCACCGAGATTCAATTTTACCCAACTGCCATCGAATTGCTTTTTTTTCCTAGAATTGGGGGCTTTTGTGATTCAGCTTAGAACTGGCTCTGTGAATTATGCTGTCCAATTCTTCATTCCTTTTTATTGATAACTTGCTAAGAGGCGGCCCAAATCATACAATTTCTTGTTTCTTTGTGACAAGTCTGTATTTTGGATCATTGTTGTAGCAGAAACTGAAACATGAGTGGTTAATCGTTGGGGAACTGATTGCGCGAACCAAGTAATAATTTTGATACCAACATCCTTCCTCCTCCTCCAATTCTGAATTGGAATATCCGTTTTACATGAATCTGTCTCTTGGTGCACTACCAGATACTAGCACTAAAAGTTTTTAATGCTAAGATCCTTTAGAAATACCATTGGTAATCTGCTTCTGCTCCAGTATATATGATACTCTCAGTCAATGCCCTGAAATATGTTTATCTTACTTGTACCCTTGCCTGTTACTCACACTGATGTATTTGATCTACGGCGATCCATAATATTTTTCCTCTTGTTCAATTATTATTATTATTATTCTTTTTCCAGGTCCCTGTGGTTCCCTTACAAAGACCAGATGAGATACAAATCCCAAACAACTCGTGGATGCAAACGTCGGGGTTTGAAGACATGTGCTGTGAGCAAGGAATTCCGACTATGATTACATGGAGCTATGGTGGGAAGGATGTAGCTGTGGAGGGATCATGGGATAATTGGAAGACAAGGTTTTCGAAAATAATAGAAAGAATAATAAGTGGTTTAGATTGTGAATATAGTTTTTGCACTATGTGAACTCTTACTTGAGTTCTTTATTCTATCTTGGTTTTCAGATGGGCTTTACAGAGATCAGGGAAGGACTTCACTATTATGAAAGTACTGCCATCCGGTGTTTACCAATATAGGTTTATTGTTGATGGGCAGTGGAGGTGTTCCCCTGACTTGCCCTTGGCCCAAGATGATGCTGGCAATTCTTACAACCTTTTGGACTTGCAGGTAATGGTTGTCATCTCTTCTTAGGTTGATACGTGTTTTGGATGAGTGTAACAACCCCATTATAATCGCTTATAACTGTTCATAATCTAAACCAGATAAGGGAAACTCCTAGTCAGATCTTATAAGTAGTATAACCTTCTTGTAGGATTGAATAAGGGAATAATGAGTATAACCTTTTTTTGAAATGTCCTCTATTCTTTAGCAGGGAAAAGCTCATTTCAGAGTTAGGGATTGCTTGATGTTTATTGTAATGTCATCATTCAGAAACTGTATTCATACGAATTTGTTAAAGCATTTAAGTACCCCTTTTTTTAGCTTAATCTATTTATGTTTTTTTTTCCAGTCTCAACTTAATTCTGTTTATGCAAATCCTACTTTTCAGGATTTTGATTTCCTTTAACTATTCAATGATGATATTAGGCTGTATGGACTAGGGAATATCAGTTTATTGTGTTGACGATATTTCTCATATTCATACAACCGATATATCATATACCATAGTCCATACATATAAACTTTCCTTTTATACGTTCCATTCAAGTTTCACGTCATTAGAGTCTAATTTCTTTAGTAACAATTTGTGTTGTTATATATGTGCTTTGAAAGCCTCAATAATTAATACCTTCAACATAGCTTAGCTGTTAAATTCATGTTTACCTTTTAAGTAGACTGCTTTTTCGCCACCATTGTGTATCTACTTTCTGTTCGTAAAGCTCTCTATCCAAATTTCTGTTTTAAGCCTGCACAAAGCTGTCTGCAAAAGAGGAAAATCACGTTGAGCCCAATTAAATAGATCAGGTTGGACTTGGGGTTGGCTTCTAACTTGAAACACATTGATACAAGACAAACACCAGGGATTTCCTATATCTTGTATAACTCCTACCAAATTGTTAAAACCTCCTGAAACTTATTTTCAACTCTACTCGAGATGGGGAAGACTAGGTCTCTGTCAAAAGACAAAATGATATTTCATATGGTCCTGTTCATGGAAATCTTTGTCTTTTCCGGTGAGCTGTAAGTATCCCTTTCTTTCATGTGTTCGTTTGGATATTACATAGAGAGTAGGTGACACGCCCCCATCCCGATGTCCCGAGGACGTCAGGATTGGGGATCCCGTGTCAGTTGGTAGTTATAGCTTTCGTCTACAGGACTAATAAAAGAAGGATCAAATTACAGCCGATTAAAACTTCTTTCTGTTGCACCGCTCTACTTTTAGTCAAACTTGGAGATGATGAGAAATTTATATGCCGTGATTAAAAAAAAGTGCTTGAAATGATAATTTTGTTATTGTTTAAATGTTGGCGAAGAGCGCGAGCTTATGGATCAGACAAAATGACATTCAGTTGATGTAATTTAGCACTTTTTCATTATGTGTGTGTGTGTGATTTTTGAAATTGCACATTTTTTATGAGGATTTTTAATCAATATGTTGTGTTACCCTTTTCTTTTATATTTTCTAAATTACTGCCATCAGTTCTAAATCTCTATAGTGGTATGACAGATGTAAACAGAATGCACTCGTATTTTCTCACTTATTGGTTGCCTGGGTCTTGACCTATAGTTTTAAGTATTAGTGTTGAAATTGTTTGAAAACTGGGCTTGGATGCGCAAGTTCTGTAAGCTGTTTGATATTGTTGGTTCTTCTGCAGGATTATGTTCCAGAAGACATCGGAAGCATTTCCGGCTTTGAACCTCCCCAGTCGCCGGACTCAAGTTACAACAACCTGCAGCTTGGATCTGAAGATTTTGCGAAGGAGCCCCCATCGGTTCCTCCACACCTACAAATGACACTGTTGAATGCACCTTCATCTTACATGGAGATGCCGCCTCCTTTGTCAAGACCTCAACATGTGGTACTCAACCATCTTTACATGCAGAGAGGGAAGAGTGGACCATCTGTGGTGGCACTCGGGACAACAGAGAGGTTTATAGCGAAGTATGTTACAGTGGTTCTCTACAAGTCCTTGCAGAGATAAAAGAGAGAAAAAACATACACTTAGTGTCTGCCTGGACTCCACGGATCCCATTATGTAGTTAGCTTTATATGAATTTCAAAGTCAAATGCCATTTTCGTGGCATCGGTTATGTTGAGGAAGGATTTGTATTTTCACACAATTCCATTGCTTAATGACCATTGATCCATCTTCTTTTGCATACTTAATTCTTTCACTCGCGCTTATTGGCTGTTGTTTCTCTTCAGTTGTACAAGAAAAAGGGTGAAAGAATGAATTTTGTTGACTACCCTTATCACCCTATCTGCCTTCTCTTCAAATTTTCTACTTCCACCCTCTCTCTCTCTCTCT